ACCTTTTTTTTTTTTTCATTGTGCTAAGGTAAACTTCACATCAGTTTCTGTCTCCCTTTGGAAAGGAGAAAACTCTTCTTTTACACTCAAAGCACTTTCCAAACACCAGATGTGTGGGGTTTTTCCCACACCAACTGATTCTCGATCCTGGACACCAGCTGGGTATTCCACAGTTCAATTCAGTTCTGACGCTGCCCCCACCCCCTCCACCTTCTGACACCAATCGCAAGTCATGTTGTCACCAGTGCTTCTGACCATACATAAAAGGTTTCCACAACCCCCTCCTCAACTTGGATTGTATGCTAGAGTGTCTCATGGAACTCAAGAAAACCTTTTACTTACTAGGTTACCAGTTTATCACAAGGACTATTGAAGGATACAAATGAATAACCAGATAAAGAAGCACATAGGGGTCAAGGTCTGTAAAGGTCCTGAGCATAAGAGCCTCTGTCCCCATGGATTTGGGGGTGCACCACTTTCCTAGCCTGTGGATGCATTCACCAACCCAGAAACTCTCCAGATCTCGTACTTAAGGGATTTTATGGGGGCTTCATTACATAGGCACCATTGATGAAATCATTGACCCTTGGTGAATTATTCAACCTGTAGCCACTGTTTCCTCCCCAGAAGTAGGCAGGTGGAACTGAAATTCCCATACTCCAATCACAGTTTAGTTCCCCTGACAACCAGCTATTACCTTGGTTTTCTAGGAGCCTTCCAAAAATCTCATTAACATAAAGTCAGGTGTGGTTGAAAAGGGCTTTTTATTAACAAAGGTCATTTCTTTCACCTTTATAGCACTGCCGCTATTTCAGGAACAGGATAAGACACTAAATAATATAACAAAAGATGCTCCATTCGCTCTTATCACTTAGGAAATAACAAGGGTTTTAGGTGCTTTGTGCCAGAAATGAGGACGAATGTATTTGTTATTCTAAATTACATTATCACAGTCTTCTTACAAGTTCCAAATCAGTTTCTAAATAAATGACATTTTATTTTACCAAGAAAAATCAATGTGGTTTGACTATCCAATAGGTAAACTTAGATTCCACTGAAATTGGATGAGTACTTACTGTGTGTCAGACAGTGTGCTAGGTAGTATCTCATTCCACTTAACCCTTACAGTGACACTACATATGCAGTTTGGTAATGGCATCCCCGATAAATGGATAAAGACCTTGGCCAGTGAATTTAGAAGCAACCTGTACCTGATGTCACAAAGAAAACTGGGAAATGGTACAGCTAAGATTGGCATGCATGCCTCGTGATACCAAAGCCCTTTCTGGCTGTTGCTGTAAAGGAACAATACTAATAATGGGAATATTTTACTGATGACCTAAATGAATAACAAATACAAATTTGGGGAGGCTGTAACCAGTATCAAACTATGCCTAATGCAATTGTCAGGTCTTCCTAGAACATTGAAAGTAAAAGTCTTCAAAGATACTATATTACATTGACTCCAAAAATGCAGTTAGATTTTGGGACTAGTTAGGAGCATATATGCCTCTCTTGTTTGAATCTCTGTTCCCTAGCTGCTTTCTCTCTCCATTCTCTCATCTCGCCACCACCCCTGACTCCTAACCTTCCCAGGTACTTTCTCCTTTACTTATCACCCAGCTTAGCCTTTCCTCTTTCCAAGCCTATCCTCCCCCTTTTGATTTTCCTCCTTTTCACTGTGCTTTCTAAAACCCTTATTCATTGCTAGGAAAATGCATTCTTGACCTTTTTCATAGATGTACCCCTTATATTTTGCTGCATAACAAAGTACCCTAAACTTGGCGGCCTAGAACAGTAATGATTTATTATTTACCGCAATTGTGTGGGTTGGGTAGATGGGTTCTTCTGGTTTCACTTTCAGCTTTCGGAAGGCCTGCTGAACCCTGGGCGTAGCTGGGATGAAGGCCCTCTCTCCCTGTGGGCTTCTTGGAGGAAGGCTAGACTGCACATCCTCAAAAGGTGGCGGCAGTAGTCCAAGAGGGCAAGCGCTTGTTTATCAAGCCTCATTTTCTAATACTATATGGCCAAGCTCATTGCAGAAGACTCTCCGAGGGTATAGATAATCCTACTGAGAAGAGTGATTCTTTGGGGCCATTATCGTAGCAGTCCAGTATAATCAAATATTTTGCTCACTTCCTAAATTGCCTTTTAGAAGCCTGCTTTCCCTAACATTATCCCGTTTCTTTAATAATTGCCCTTAGGTTGAGGTTCATCATCCTTTGAAATATCCCCCATATCTCAGAAGCAGAGGACGGGGGAGTTGGAGTTCTCCTGTCCCAATGTTCTTCTTCTTCTTTTTTTTTTTTTTTTTTTTGAAGATTTTATTTATTTGACAGAGAGAGACACAGCGAGAGAGGGAACACAAGCAGGGGGAGTGGGAGAGGGAGAAGCAGGCTTCCCACTGAGCAGGGAGCTGATGCGGGGCTCGATCCCAGGACTCTGGGATCATGACCTGAGCCGAAGGCAGTCGCCCAATGACTAAGCCACCCAGGCGCCCCCAATGTTCTTCTCCAATACTTCTTGAAAATTTATTCTCCCCACAGTGCCCTTTTTTTATTTTGAGTGAACCCAATGTACTTTTACTACCCATTTATCATACTAATTTTCTGCTGACATGTGCCTTAATCCCTAGTACAGTGCCTGATAATGGTGTTAAATGTTTCATGTTTGTCCTTGTACCTGCTACCAGAGGTTTTCATTATAAAGGCCTTAATGTCTGGCCTTAATGTCTGACCAGGTAAATTTAAGATATATCCCTTTTAGTTCATACAGACATTTTTTAGTTTTCATTGTTTATTGCTATGTGGTCCTCTTAAACTATATCCCTGCTAGAATTTTTTTTTCTCTTTATCAGAAGAAGAGAAAAAATGTCTTTTGTTTTAAACAACTTTTAAGTAAATCCCAATGCCAGATGACCTAAGGGTCTGAGAATTAGCCTAACCTCAAGGCTTGAGATACTCATTTCCTGGGATGTCAATACTTGTTGTTTCTGGTCTCCCTTCTCTCTTTCCCCACCCCCTGAGGATAGAAGCTCATGGGGAAAGGAATTTTTTTCTATTTTCCTAAGAACAGTGTATGGTACTGTATTTAATGTATGACTTTTTAATTTCCCTAAAGGGAATAGGTCAGTTTAAGAAGCTGTGTATTCTGTTAACCGTATTCAAACACCACTGAGGGCATTAATTAAAAATATTACTAAATCCCCCCTCAAACTAAATACATTCAAAATCAAATACTGAAGAGGGAAAATTATATATAAATATTTACTATACAGTATATGCTATATACCAAATATGGACATCATTAAGGACATCATCAAAATATCTAAGATATTTTGAGGAAACAGCATTACTGAAAGTGTGCATAGTGCAATCCCTTTGTGTTTTAAATATGTATACATGTAGAAAAATTCTCAAAGGAAACACAATAAAACATTAATAGTGATTCTCGTGTGGCAGGGGAGGGAATAGGTGCAGAAAGTATGGATCGGGAAGTTTTACTTTATAATGTGGAGTGTGTGTTATTTTTATAATGTTTTAAATTTTTAAATAAAGACTTTACAAATAAATATCTGATATAAAGGTTTGTGTTGTTTGCTTTGTAGAGGTGGATGGAGAAAAGACTAGCGAGACTATTTGTGTGTGTTCGTGTGTCATAATAAAATTAATGTAAATGTCATATAAAATGCCATGTCCTGTTTTTCCCTTAGCATTATATATCAGATGTTTTTACATCAGTAAAAATTATTAAAGTTCAAACATCACTAAAAATTACTACAGCTCAATTTTTTTTTAAGATTTTATTTATTTGAGAGAGAAACAGAGCGCACAAGCAGGTGGAGGGGAAGAGGGAGAAGCAGGCTCCCCGCTGAGCAAGTAGCCTGATGCCTGACACTATCCCAGGTCCCTGGGATCATGACTCGAGCCGAAGGCGGACACTTAACTGACTGAGCCACCCAGTCACCCCTAAAGATCAATTGTAATAAATATTGCATTAGATGGATAAGTTAGTATATTTTATACTTTATCGTTGAACTTTTGCAGTTATAAATGAGAGCTCAGGAAAGAATTTTATTCATAAATCTTTGTAATGCTTTGCTGATTTCTTTAATAAAGATTTACAGAAGTAGCTTGGTTTAACTTGGTTAAAACATAATCTTGTTATCATTAGAAGTACTAAGTACTTGAAAATAACAGAGTCATGTGAACTTTAAGTAAATTGGCTTTCTGGGCAACACTTGCTGCCACTTGGCTTGATTCTTTGCAGAGAACCGCAGTATTTCAAAATATCTGGCCTACTCTGTTTTACGTAAAGTTTAGCCTTAATGATGTCCATATTTGGTATATAGCATATACTGTATAGTAAATATTTATATATAATTTTCCCTCTTCAGTATTTGATTTTGAATGTATTTAGTTTGAGGGGGCATTTATTTTTTTTTTTTTTAAGATTTTATTTATTTGACAGAGACACAGCGAGAGAGGGAACACAAGCAGGCGGAGTGGGAGAAGGAGAAGCAGGCTTCCTGCGGAGCAGGGAGCCCGATGCGGGCCTCGATTCCAGGACCCTGGGATCATGACCTGAGCCAAAGGCAGACGCTTAATGACAGCCACCCAGGCGCCCCGAGGGGGGATTTAGTAGTATTTTTAATTAATGCCCTCATTGGTGTTTGAATATGGTTAACAGAATACTTCTTAAACTGACCTGTTCCCTTTAGGGAAATTAAAAAGTCTTCAAAGGCTCAGTGACCCAGCAAAGATGTATAGTCGGGGGGTGTGTGTGTGTGTATGAAATACTTGGTCTTTATTAAAACAGCTTTTCCTGATGTGTGTGTGTGTTTGTGTGTGTGTGTGTGTGTGTGTGAAATACTTGGTCTTTATTAAAACAGCTTTTCCTGATGCGAGCTACACTATTTAGTGAGGACATGTGATAAGTCACCTTATATTTCATTGCCATTGGTGTTAACACTTGGTCTTGTGACCCTGCCCTGTTCGCAGGTTAAAGTGCTGCACAATCAGCTGGTCCTTTTCCACAATGCCATTGCCGCTTACTTTGCCGGGAATCAGAAGCAGCTTGAACAGACACTTAAACAGTTCCATATCAAATTGAAAACCCCTGGAGTGGACGCCCCATCTTGGCTTGAAGAACAGTAAAATCACACCCGGGGGGTAAAAAAAAAGAAAAGAAAAGCCACGTCATTATATTTCTAAACAAACCTAATAAGAATTAAGCAGAGTTGGGTTAAGATTAGGGAACTGGTGACCACAACCATTGTAGTGATTCTTGCACAAACAGCTTTAATTTTTCCCTTTTTCATACTTTAACAACTGAACTGTTAAATTTGATGGGAAGGTGGGTGATTTTAATGTAAACATAATTTCTATGATCTGAACACAATAATTTTCCTTTTTGAGAAATCCTTTTGTATTGTGAGGGTTGATGGCTATTTCTGTAGTTTGAAAACATCTAATATAGATTTGCACTGACCAGATATAAAAATTCAAGGTTTTTGGTCCTGGAAAGAGGGCCAGTTGTAGCTTTTCCAAAGGGACGTTTACATGATTTATATCAACATCAGATATTTTATATATGAATATATTAAACATCTTTAAGAGATTCATTTTCATGTATTGTCTTAAAGAAAAAAGAAACTATTTTGCAGAGTAAAATTATATGGTGTTCCTGCAGCATCCACACAGAGGTGGCAGCTCTAATGAATGACTGATTGACTTGTGGAGTTGTGGCAAATGCCTTTTTAAAAATGATTCTGTACTATTGTAATTTTGTTTAACCTTTTTTTTTTTTTTTTTAAGACACAGGAATCACACTGTCATTTCTGTGAGGCTTTTGAGCTTAACAGTTTGCATCACCCAAAGTCATTGGGCAGTTATGTTAGCAATTTCTTTTGATTCATAATGAAACCTGCTTAAGAGAATTTTTTTTGGCAGGTGGACTTGGGAATAGAAACTCTTGATGGTTTCTAGAGTAGAAATCTGTGCTTAGAAAGCAAGTTTTGGAGTAAATTCCATTTTGACAGAAGTGAATTCCTAGACAGCTTTTCATTGACTTCCATATGTAACGATACCGGTTAAGCCTTAAATCACAGATATGTGCCTTCTCAGATACAGTAATTCTCATTCAACCAATGTACATAATCCATAAAGAAACCCCTTTCAGATAATGTTTGGCGTGTCTTTTCCTTCCTTGGAAAGGAACACTGTGTATCAGTATTGGGTTTCTTTGTATTCCTTAAACCGCGTTCAGGTTTATGGTAAAATCAACTTTGAATTTGCTGTTTGGTTTTTCTTCATTCCTTTCATGGAATGAGAAGATGGAGGAATTTTTCTTCATTTGAGTAATGGAAAGGTAATCTGGGACAGTGTGGTGGTAACAAGAAAGGGGATTGGAAAGGCCAGTACTGTTTTAGTTGCTCAGCACTGTTGGGTTTGTGTTATGTAGTTGACCTATCCGCTGTGTGGTTCTATCAGTAATGTAAGCCTTTTAAGTATAAGTTCTCTTGATTTTTGTCATAGACATAAATTAATATGTCTTCATTTCTTTTGTGTTGAGATGAAGTACTAAAAAAATTACTGTTATACATGAACTCTGTGGACTGTAAGATTTGTTATATATGTTCAAATGCCTTTTAGCTGGCTTTTTAATTAATATGCCTGTTTTCAGTGCTTAATATGTACAATGTAATGTGATTGTAAATCATAAACCTATTTTAAATCATTCCTTCCTGTATATTTGTACTCTGACAGAGCCTTATTTTATTCTTCCAGCAGAATTACTACTTGTAATAGTTCCTGTACATTCCCCAGAATGTGCCTCTGGTGTGAATTTTGTATTCTTATTAAAAGTATTTGCTGCACTACCTTGTTTCTATGGCTCTTCATAATTTAAGAAGCAACTATCTGGAAATTGTGAAGAAATGATTTGTCTTTTCCTGACTTTAAGAACAATAACAAAAAATGGTGCTTCTGTCATTTATAACAGCTTTTCCTCAGTAAGTTATTCTTTTTCCTCAATTGGAGTCTCCCTTGGGAGTGGAACACGTCCACTCTTAGCACATATTGGTAGCAATTTTAGTAGCTAAGGAATTTTTCAGGGACTGATGATTTTTTAGAATAGACTAAAAATATCTGATTCTGAGTAGTGGGTGCATGTGCAAAAGAAAGAATTAACATATTAGCCAGTTGGTATATTTACTTTGTTAGGAAAGTAATTTATATTCATTGTAGAAAAAAATTAGAAGATAATTTCAAAAAATTGAAGATAAAATAACTTCCCAAGTCAGTAAGTACTGCATGGAACCACCTAACTCTCCCCTGAAGTTACAGATTTTAGTTACCGATTATATTATAAGGTCTAGTTTGAATATCCTTTAACATGCACACCTTCATCTTTGTACTCTACCTAGTTATTTCCTTAGGTTAGATTCTTAGAAATGAAAATGAGCCCTCAAAGTAGATACACACTTTTGAGACTTTGTTAAGCAGTGCTGGTGCCTTTCAAGAAAGATTTTGCCAGGGGTGCCTGGCTGGCTCAGTCGGTAGAACGAGTGACTCCTGATCTCAGGGTCTTCAAGCCCCACATTGTGGCGTGGAACCTACTGAAAAGAAAAATAAGAGTTTATTTGAACAAAAATGGACTCAAATCAGGCAACGCCAGATTAAAAATGATTAGGATCCCTCCACCAATAGGAGCTAGGGGAGAGACTTTTCAGAGACGTAGAAGCAAGGTGAGGAAAATACTTGATTATGTATAGCTTAAGCAGTTGCCTTATTTGGGAAGGACTTGTTGGCTGTTTGTGATTTGTTGTCCTTTGGGTTTTGATTTAACCTTGAGGCATTTCAGGCTTACATTTTGGTTTGTTTATTTAGGATACTAAGTCTCTAAGCCACCTCAATCTAATGGCCCCCTTGTTTAATTAATAACGCCAAAGCTTCTAAATCTTAGGGGCAAGGAAGGACCTGGGCTTGCAGAAGCAATTTAGCTAAAATCTACTATAAGAACCATCTTTTCCATATTCAAAGTACATTGCGCTCTTGGTGTTACCAAAGCTTATCCCATAAGAGTGAAACTAGAAGCTTCCTTAGAGATGATCTGTTTAAGGTCCTTTTTTACAGATAAAGACATGAAGGCCCAAAAATATATTAAACTGGCTTAGCCAACCTCTGTTACCAAATGTAATGCCAGGTAAGTTATTTGCAACTAAATGTATGGTTTCCCCCTTTAAATCCTGCCATTTCAACTGTACAATTAATGTGTCAAAAGTGTCATTTCTTCTCCTAAAGTACAATGTGTATTAAATGTCTTTTCAGTTGAAAAAATAATCCATTCACCCCTAAATGGATTCATAGTAGGCATATTTCAAATATATATGATCTGTTTCAATCCACTGATCTTAAAGTATTCTGAAAAAGAAATGTGAACCTGGAAAGTGCTATATAAAGTAAAATTAGCATATTGGAAAGGTTGAAGATAAGTGTCTTTTAATCATGGAACTGTTAATTTGAAGAAAAATGTATCTACCTCAAAATGTGCACAGTCTCCTTTTTTCCTTCACTGGATGTGAAAAATAAAAGCAAATTATCGAAATAGTTCAGTGTAACATTTGTATATAATTTGTACTAATTTTTGTGAAATACCAAGCATGCCTGTATTTTGTAATATTTCAAAATATCTTTTGCCAGGTAGCACTTTTTTTGAAACTTTCGGTTGCCTGAGAGACTTGAGACCCTGTAAGATCCTTCATCACTCAGCTCTAGCTAAATTTAGACATTTAAGAAATCTGATTCCCGCTGTAAGATTGCAAACTTTTATATTGGCTCAGACAATTTCCAGTTGTGAATAAGCTATTTTCTGATCAAAAGGCCAGTTATATTTTGCATTTTCCAGGCTTTTCCAAGACATTGAAAATTCTACTTCAGAAACCAATATTGCACTGTATGTTAACTAAAATTTAAATTTAAAAAAAAGGGGGAGCACCTGGGTGACTTGGTTGGTTAAACATCTAACTCTTGATTTCTGCTCAGGGCATGATTATCAAGCTTCCCTCCTGCCTCCATCCCCACCCTGAACGTGTGCTCTCTCTCTTTCAAATGAATAAATAAAATCTTTCAAAAAAAAAAAGGAAGAAAGAAAAGAGGGGCGCCTGGGTACCTCAGTCAGTTAAGCGTCTGCCTTTGGCTCAGATCATGATCCCAGGGTCCTGCATCATTGAGGCTCCCTGCCCAGCAGGGAAGCCTGCTTCTCCCTCTCCCTCTCCCTCTGCCCCTGCTCGTGCGCTCTCTCTCACTCTGTCTCTCAAATAAATAAATAAAATCTTGAAAAGCTTTTCCAAGGGCCACAGGTCCTTTACTATTGTTACAAAATAGCAAAACCTATGAAAATAGAATGGCGATGCAAACAACTTTTCTCTTTTGAGGACTTTCATTAAATTCTGTGTTCCCACTTGAAGGTTTCCTGCTCAACAGGTTTCCTGGCATAAATGGGCCTTTATAATAAATTGCCAAGTGGTTGTCCTAATGTACAGAGAACTATGAAGTTCGGCTTTGTGTTGTGAAATAAAAGTTAACTCTTAGTAGTTTATGTAAATTAAGTGAGGACCATTAGTTAGTCTAGTGGTAACTCTGATATGGGAAGAGGAGACTATGGATATGAGGAAGGGAAATTAGACCCAGTCTGAGAACTGGGACTCTATATCTGTGCAGTTAATTGGATTAATGTCTTATCAGAGCTGGGAATTTCAATGACATTGTTACAAAATGAAACTTCCATAAAAAAACTTTTTTTTTTTTTTGGTTTGTTTGGTTGGTTTGGGCCCAATCTAGGCTTTGCCACAAGCATTCTCTGTCAAAGAATGAGCTTTCTGCAACTATGGTTTATCATGAATTGTTGATTCCTAAGGACAGTGAAAGGGACGAAATACCATTTTGTTGATCTTAGACAAAAGTAACTTTATGTGACTTAGACTTTGATATCACTTTGCTTCTGAGAAGCAAAAGTGTGTGTGTTTTTACTGTAGGGATGGAATGTATACAATGCTGGCACGGGGGGGCACATAAGGACGAAAAATGGAAACCATATTAGTCTTCACTATATTTTGGAGCTTTAATTCTAGAAGTTCTAAAGAAAATGCAAGCTCTCACTGTAAAAAG